AGACAGAGAGACAGACAGGCAGAGAGAGAGACAGACAGGCATGATTTTACTTCCATATTTGTTGTTGAAGAAGCAACTCTGTAAATAAAATCAGTTCCTCTGAATGTTTTTGTTTTTGTTGTTTTTGTTCAGTTTTTAGATTCCAGCATGTTTGACTCACCGCCGTCAACCCACCACAATAAGAGCACGGCGCGACGGTGGAGTTTCAAAATAAAACTTTTCTGGGAAATCGTATTTTTCGTTATTTCTCTCATTCCCTGCATTATTAAAAGTTTATTTTTAGTTATTTGTCTTTTTAATTAGCTCTATTTAAAATTATTTGTCTTTAATCTATTTCTATTTTTTGGTTATTTCTCTCATCCCCTGGATTATTACATTATTATTGTCTATTATTATTGTCTATTGTCTTATTATTATATTATATAATAGTTATAATAATAATAATACTTATTATTATTATAACTATTATATTATATTATTATTATTATTATTATAATTATTATTATATAATTATAATTATAATTATTATTATTGTTCAACAACTTTAAGACTGTGACTATTTAGACGTTATGCTTTTATTGTGAAGGCAGTAGGATGTGCTTCCGGCCTCGCGCTCTCTGCAGCTGTCTCTTCCTGGTTTCACGAAGTCAACGCGTTTTTTTTGCGTTTTTTTTGCGTTTTTCTGCGTTTTTCTGAACACAACAAAGACTAAAAGTGGACGAGATTCGCTGAACTTCCTCCAGAAGTGTTTTCAGACTGAAGTTTGAGTCTAAAGTGCCGTTGAAGAGTTAAATGTGCCGCGTTCAGACTTTAAAGTGAAGCGATCTTTTTCCATTCAGCGGATTAAACTTCATCAAACATGAAGCTGAAACTGACTTTATTCTGTCTGTTCATCGCTTTAACACAGGCTGTCATTCATCCTCCTGCACACACTGAACATCCACACTACTGTAAGTCTCTATCCTCTATAAATAACAACAATCATCTATAAATAACAACAATCATCAGAGTAAATATGTGTACGGAAGCTCAAATGTGCCAGAATCTAATTTCATTTATAAAATGATTTAATGAAAAGTTACAAATTATTAAAATAAAAAACTAATTGTGAGTCAAATGTTTAGAGAATATGTTAAATATTTGACTTTGAGTAAATCAAATCAACTATAATGTTCAAATCATATTTCTGAGATAAAGTAATAATATTATATTATCTTATATCCTGATCTATTCAATAATTCATCTGTGTTGTTGAGTGATCAATAATGAGGTTATTGTGTTTTAATATCTTAATGTTTACACTTTGTTACCACTTACTTACAATCTCGTATCACTCTATATAAAAACAGAAATGTATATATAATAATATATCTTATATAAAATACATATATACACTGTTAATGTGCCACAGTTATAGACGAGGTTCCCTGAGACCACATTAGATACAGGTCTGATCAGTTTGTGGATCCTTGACAACAAAACACTGACAACAGTTTAATGAATGTGTTAGTAAACAGAAATTAGGAGATATTACATCAAAAATGAGCGTTTTAAATCATAAATGTGACACAAAACATCACAAATGATGAGATTAATTCAAATTCAGAATATAAATACGAGGTTGGTGATAAATAATAGATTAATATAATCAAATCCCTCCAGGATGTTTTTACAGTATGAACATTTAATCACTTTAATTCTGTAAAAATCAAACACAATTTGTTCCAGTGAGAATCTGACTGATCAATTATCTTTCTATGTGTTTATAATCAATATTTTATTGATCAGGATCTAATATGAAGTCTGTCTGAAGGTCCTCTGTTCCCTCCGCAGCGTCTCTCAGGTCCATGCTGGACGACTTCGACGTGCTGCCTCTCTCCAGCCTGCAGACTCACTCCGTCCGCCGCCGCGACGTCCAAACTCAGACTCACGTGGAGAAGCTGGTCAGCTTCGACGCCCTGCAGAGGTCAGAGTTCACGTTTCTCACAGTCCGCTGACGCAGACAGAGTCCAGAGAGTAACAGTGTGTGTGTGTGTGTGTGTGTGTGTGCTCGCAGGCAGTTCAGACTCTACCTGAGGACCAACGACGAGCTCTTCACCGAGGACTTCAGAGCCGTGATCGTGGACGAGGACGGACGAGAGCGAAGCTACTCGGTCAACAGACACAACTACTTCACGGGACACGTGATCGGTAACGGCCGGCCTGAACGCCAACGACCTTCAACCATCACAAGAAGAATACTTTATTTCTGTTTCTGTCTGTTCCAGGTGAAGAAAACTCTCGAGTTCAGGCTCATATAGACGACCACGAGTTCTCCGCTCACATCCTGACTAATGAGGCGGAGTACAACGTCGAGGTAAAACAAGAGTTTACCGTAAAACTTCCAATAGACGCAGGTCTCCTTTAAAAGCCTGCTGTGGATTTTATAGAAATGATCTTGATGTATAAAACCTCTTAAAACCCACCGGGTCGCCTGCTTGAGCGTCGTTTCAATCTCCTACACAAATATAAATGTTTAAACTTCTGTCAGTATGTACATAATGAACATCATTAGATCAGTTATAGATTCTCCACAATTCAATCTTTCACTATATTTTACGAAAACGATCAACAACAAAGTTAATTCAGTCTGACTTACCGGTAACATGGTAAACAAGAGAGAAGGAAAAAAACCTCTGAAGCATCATAATCATCATGTTAGTTGTCAAATTTGCTGAACAAAACTCAAGAGAAGCAGCAGTTAGTTTAGTTTAGTTTTGTGCTAAAGGAATTAAAGGCCTGTCCCAAATAAAGGCAGGGGGAGTTCAGTGATTT